ACGTGGTCGACCCCGACAAGTGTACGTCCGTCACGTATTTGGTCGACTCCAGTGACGGCGCCGTTAAGACACAATTGGCTCAAGACTTAAATAACATTAATTGTGATTCAGTTTAAAAATTATTATTATATTATTGGATGCCATCTATTAGTGGAGGCCTACTTCGGTACCAATGAATGATCAAAAACTTCTGGACCCCCGACCCCCCGTTCCCTTACATTCAAAGCCTATTCGATATATTTTGTATGTTTTTTGCTAAATATGTATTGATTTTGTATAATAAACATGTTTTTCGTTTTGTTATGATTTACTCGTTTTATGAGCAGATATTTACCAATTTTTTCCATTAAAATAATACAGAATTTTGTGACAAATTTTTTTAGAGTATTTCTGTTAATGACTTATAAAGTGTTTAAGACTTTGTTTATTATTTGTATAGATATAATTATATAGAGATAACTTATGGAAATGTATTTATATATTAAATAATAATAACAAATTATTATTAGAATATTTTTAGCCATAGTTATTATTTCTAAAATTATATTGTCATTTAATGAACATTTTTATGTAATTATTATATTAATAACAATTTTAAAACGATTATGTACAAATGTTTTAATTATATTTTCATTGTAAATTATTTTTAAACTTATTATTTTCTAAGCAGTCTTTTATAAATAAATTTTATTTGTTTGCTTAAACTGTATATTGTATTTAATAATAATAATAAATATTACATATAATTTAAATCGAAATATATTATAAAAGTCTAATTTATAAATTAAATTTTGTTTGTAATAAAGTTATATTATTTAAAATAAAACACGTTTAAAATACTGAAACAGATTTTCATATTTCCCAGTTTCGATAGATGTCGAAATGGCTTAAAATATAAAACATATTATTTTAATAAAAGTATACCGGCACTAATTATTTCAGATGTTTAGAGAAATAGATTTAAAAATTTATTGTCTTATTTGATTTTACTATTTTGCACTCAAAGTCAATGAAAAGGAAAATAACTTAATGTTATTGTTTTTACTGTATTTGAATATAACTTTCTTAACCACATTATTTTTTACTTTTAATGTATTTCAGTATAAAATCACTTTTTCTACATTAGCTCCGACGTCATGATAGAGACAAATGCAATAAAATATACCGGTACAATAAATACATTTCATTACAGGTATTATATCAAAGTAAATGTTTTCTATGCTAATAACAAACTAATAGTTAGCAGAGTTTGACTGTAAATCGAGATTAGATAAAAATGAATAAAAGTATTATATAGAGAAAATATTATTATTATTATATCTAAATTAAAATAATCAGTAAAACTACTCATTCCTGTGTTATGCGGAGGTTTGAGATAAAAACACACCATACCTTTTATGAAATGGCAAACAAAATACATATTTCATGTTATTTATACAAACTTTCCATTAAACTAATATATTAATTATTATATTTTATTTTTATACTAGCTAATTTGTAACAAAAAATTATTATTAATTAGTGTAACAACTTGATTGTGTGTCTCAACATGTGCGACAAAATAGTGAGAAACATATCGTTTATAATAATCACAATTTTATTTGCCATCGCTTTCAATACATTGGTGGCACTACATATTCACCTAAATCTGGACAATAGGATCGCGGTTATTGTGATTTGTGTGATCGGAGACCTCATTCTCATCCTATTTATGGTGCTGTCCGTCCGTCAGTTTTGGATGGACTACAAGAACTTAGACATCGAGAGACAGTTTGTCGACAAACAGAATAACCAGAATCGGAGCCAAACTCAGAGTCAACGATCAAACAGCAGTACTAATAGTCACCGACACTCCGGGTCCTTTCAAAGACAAATGAGGATTTGATTTTACATTGTAATTAATTTGGTATTAAATTATTTTTTTTTGTAAATTTATTTTGTAACTAATTTAAAATTCTATTTATACTGTATGTGTTGCTTTTATATTGAATTTTAGATTTTTGTTAAATAAAAATATGAGCTTATATTGATTAAGAAATTAATTAAATATTTGTATAGCACACACACTATTTGTATGCATTTGCTTTAAGTTTATTTATATATCGATTACTTGCTGTTGACTGCAATCTAATCTCTACTATATTTTTTCATGCAATAAGTTTTAATTCACTTGATTTGTTATACAAAATAAATTAAGTTTTGTAAATAAATTGAATTTTTTACTTTTTAAGATTTAAATGAATTGATAAAATAAGTTTAAAATTTATCCTTTAAACATACATATTGAATATTATGTTAACACAAATTTTGTAAAATATTTTTGTAACAAATATCTCTAATATCAGAATATAATACTTTTTAGTTTGAGTCTAAATCTCAAAACTTTGCATAAAATCTGTTTTGACTAGAAATATCAAAATTGATCTCAAATTTAATTTAGAAAATCAATTTTTTTATTTAAAATATTTTATACCAAAAATATATCACATTATGTAATTTAATAGATAGGTTTAAATTATTTGACAAACATGTCAGATGACACTTTGAAATACTAATAGTATTTAAATGTATAGTAGTATTGAATTTAAATTTAAATTGTAGTATAATAGTAATAATAGTTTTAATTTAATTAAATCATAAGATTACTATTTTAACTATTGCATTACATTGATTACATAAGCTTAAAAATTGTCTAAATTGGAAAAATAAATATACTTTTTAGAAAATAATTTGTTTTCTATTTGTTTCAAATGAAATTATTAACTTTTTAAAGGTATTGCGAAAATAAGATTTATATTACATTTTTAATTAAATATGATTTTTCTATCCCAAATGACATAATATTTAATTTCTCTGCATATAAATACTCATTGGAAAAGTATTTGAAAATTACTTTTTCAAATTAAATTAATACTTTCAATATGAAGGTTAGGTTTCATTTTTCATTTATTTAAAAATTAACATTAACTGATTATAATAGATTTTTATTTGTATTTCATATAAATTAAAAATTAATTATTAAAAATTCAATTAAATTCTTGCAGAATACATATTTTGATATATATTTCATTTATTCAACTATAGCTTAGAAGTTATGATTAAAATCTTGTGTTTATTATCTATTATTTTATACATTAATCCGATAACTAGTTTATCGAAAGAGGTGTACGAAGACGTGGATGACTTTGAAATCTCTGATCCTAAAAACAACGACAATAAAAGGAAACCCGATTTCCACCCAAACCTATCGCTATTTAATACAAGTTTTCAAAGGAATGACAATCAGTTCAGAGATAATATTAATGCGAGAGATGACAACAATCAGACATTCCTCAGACAAATGACTGAAAGTCCGGTCGTCAGGATTGCCAACCAATCGATACCTCAATACAACGGACGACCATTTGATAGAGATTTTGAAAATGTGAATATTGTTAATGAAAGCGCCGGTAATTCATCACTACTTCCAACAGCTATAACAACATCTATGGCTAATGAGAGGATAGGAATCGCTGACAGTACTGTCAAAGTCGTTAAGCCATTGATCACAGCCACCCCATCCACTACTACCACCAGCCCCAGCACCACCACTACCACTACAACAATCACTACCATTCCTACTACTCCTAGTACCACAACCACAGCCAGGCCTACAACTTGGATGACTGCACTAAGATCTACGATGAATACAACTGATGAAACCCCTATCATCGATGCGTTTATTAATGACTTTATTATAACAAAAGCAATACCCGTGCCCACGACTACCAGAGCTGACATTCCCACAGTAATGACCACTACTAATAATCCTGAAACAACTGATGGCTTACAACAACTCAAGACAACAATTAACGAAAACAATAGACTCGAGAACTTTACAGAAGATTCTATCGTTGAGATAATGCCTCAAAATTTTGAACCTAATGTCAGTCATAACGACGTGACTAAAGACAATGGGATTAACATGGAAGTGGAGATACATAATATCGAGACAACTATTGGGACAACCATTAAGACAACTATTAAACCATTTGTTACAACAGAATCAGTTATGACAACGAAACCAACAAAGACTACAAAGAATCCACAAATCGCTAAACTTCTTAAGGATAATATGGATGACTTCGATCTCCCTATAGATCCGTTTGAAATGGAAACGGCCAACCCTTCCTCGCACACCACCACTACCCCAACACCCCGTCCCACACGTCCCAACCGTCCAGTGCGTAAACATGTGCGCGGAGGTCCGCTACCACTCTCGCAACCCCTCCCTATCTACCCAATAATGCCTCCCCATCTACAGGAAATACCCGGCTATCAGACCTATTGGGTGCCAATACAGGTGCCAAAGGGTACCCTTAATGTGGACGAGATGTGGAAGAATATGAGAACTCCTAACTTCATAGAGAGGGGACGCCTCAAGAATAGGCCGCTTCTCCGTGAGGGCACACCTAACAGTTGGTGGCGTCGACCGCGACCGCAATACTGCTATAATCCCATTACTGTCGACCACTTCTGCGCCGATAGGAGACCACTGAGGAAGTGGTCGTACAATGAGGCCGACGAACGCTGTTATCGTTATATCGACTTCTGTTCGGCAAAGAAACTCAATTCGTTTGACACACTCCAGGCCTGCCTGTCCACCTGTTGGAGAGCCAATCAATAAATGATTTCTTTTACATACCCTTCCCATTCCACTCTATCCCCACCGGTTTAAATCATAGATAACTTAAATTTATAAATTATGTTTTATTAAAATATTATGTTTTCAAATGTTATAAATTTAACGTTTTATTCAATACAGTATTAAAGATAACATAAATTAAATGTTTTTACACACAATATCAAAATACATTTTAGATATAATTCAATTTAACACTTAAGTTTGAAAATGTATTTTCTCATAAAAATATAATGAAATAGTGTATCTAATGATAAGCGAGTTGTTTTTGAGAGATTTGCATTCATTTGATCAAACTGACAATTTTATGCAATGATTGTCTGATTTAATAAAATTCTGAATCGTTTGTACAGTTCTTGAAGTCATTGTCCGTAAGACTAGAATAGTATCGCTTGTCATCACATCTTAAAGGACCCGACAATTTAGGACTTATTGTTTTGTTCATAAACACCCACTTGAGGCCACAAACACAGTTTACATGATTGCCTATCATTTCAAGTCAAACAGACATAACAATTAGAGTTAACGTAATCTATAAACTAATACTTTAAAAACCATTAAAACACAATTAAAATTATATAAACGTTGATAATAAAACTTAAGTTACTTGTTTTTTATCTTACATTAATGATCATACAAATTGAACCTTTAATGATTATACCTTTAATGATAATTTTGGAGGGGTCGTAGCTTAGCAAATGAGCAAATGTAGGTGCTGTGAGCTGGGTCAAATTATTGAACGACAGCTCAAGAGTGACGGGTCGGTCGAGTCCGGCGAAAGCCGACTCCTGGATATCAGCGATTTGGTTGAGCTTCAGATTAATTCTGATGGGATTGTATTGGGAATCGTTTACACTTTGCTGCGAAAACGAGTTGCCCTCCAGTTTTTCCAACAAATTATCGCTTAAATCCAATAAATTCATTGAATACAGAGCTTTGAACGCGTATTTGCCTAATGTCTTGATCCTATTCCTATCGAGTAATACCATTTGCAGTCTGTGCTGATTAGCGCCAAACGCATAGTCAGGTATGTCTACTAACTATAAGTTATCAATACAACAAAAATCATACATAAAAATACATTCGTTTTTTGTGTAGTTTTTGCATTGCATTAAATCAATATTCTTATGATGACTAGTGATAAACATAAGAATTTAAATTAAATTAAATCTCTAATAAACCAAATGGCATTCACTGATATTGACATTACCTGATTGTCTGAGAGGTCTACTTCGGTCACGTAAATCAATTGAGAGACGGCTATGAATAGGGAACGGCTGGTGTTTAGGGCACAGCCACTAATCCGCAATGATATTGTGGTGTTGACTGAACTCGAGAACGCGTTCTCCTCTATTGTCGACAAACTTTTTACATTAAATACATTGAATTTCTCGAATGAAACCTATTATACGGATCACATTTAGATATCATAAATCATTTTTGACTTATTTTATAAATTTCATAACAGATTACTTAAAGTTATTTGAAAAATATGAATACATTTCTGAAGAGATAGTTTGGAAAATGAGTGATGAGATGATTGCCGTACACTTCAAAGGTATCCATAGATGTCTTATTTTGGATGCCATTGAATGTGTCTATCATTGAGGTCTCAGTTATGCCTCCCTCGCAGACAACATCTATATCAGAGACAAGACATTTGCATGTATTGTCAATGAGACAGGACTTGGCTGTAGTGGACGGTAATGTTATGACATCCACATCTGAAGCCGAAGTTATTAATGTAATCATTGGTAAAATCACTGAATATATTAATATAGAATTCATATTTAATTTTATTACAACAAATAGAAACTTTATAGAAACTTTTTAGAATTGACAAACTTCTAATCAGGATCAATTTATATATGCTCGTGAAACAAATAAAATATACTGATATTTCTACAAAAAACAAGTATCAGTCTATACAAGATAATAATATCAGCGATATAGTTAATATCAGTCACTTAACCAAGAATTCATAAAATTATAAATAAAAATATAACTGTATAGCATAAGTTAATAACTATGACATGATAAATAATTTTATATATAAAAGGTGTATTGAAAGGAAATATAGTTTTTGTCTTTATATAGATAATTTTGACATGAGATCACAATAAGTAATAATATTCTGAAATATATATCAGTCTATGGATTGAGAAAAAGACCAAAAAAGCAATGCGAAGAATACGTTCAATAAAATGGTTCAATAGATTGAAGTGCTTTTTATAGTGTAAGTCCTGATAAGTCTCTCCAATGCATAAGCCTTTTGTCCGATTCTATTGAAATGAAATGAAATAAAAATATCAATNTCTCCAATGCATAAGCCTTTTGTCCGATTCTATTGAAATGAAATGAAATAAAAATATCAATAAATTGTATATCACTTTATGTGACCTTTTATGAGGGAAATACTCATAAAATGGTGCATTACTATCACATTGAGCCACAATAAAATATCTCATTGCTAGAAAAATCATTTTTATTGGATCTATTTTAAATTAATGAAATATATCTTATATTAATCTTATATCTAAATATAACTCTTAAATGAATAAATATAATTATTGTGCAAATTATATTTATTTTGAAAATTGATTTGTAAATAATCTGCATTTAATGTCCACTAGAAACCGCTAGAATTACATGAATATAATAAATTTATTTTATTTATCTTTTTTAAAAACTTATGATTTTGTATAGGATTTTATATAAAATTAAGATATAGTTTTTGCCCTTTTATTCAGTTATGTCTGAAATGACTTTTGTTATAATATACATGATATTAATTGACTATTTTATGTTTACTTTATGTTCTGTTTTCTTTTAAGTAATGTTATCATAAATATTTTAATAAGTTAGTCTTAATATGATATATACCGTGAATTAAAATAGTTAATAAATATATTTCTTTATTTACAAATAATTTCTATAAATTACTTATTATTTATATTTAATTTTAAAGAATATTATATTTTTCTTCATTTACTTTATGTCTTTTGATAATTAAATAATAGTATTTCACTATAAGCTACTCTAAAGTTAGAAAAGTGTATATATTGTAAATAACACTTATATTGTAAAGTGATTGATAAATAGTTGATAAAAATATAAATCAACTTTATACCTTGTTTTCTGTTCTTAATAAACTTAATATAATTTTTCATTCGAGTCTAAAAAAGTATTATAGTAAATTCTGATAATTATATTTTTATTAATTACACAACTGTCTGATGTTTACCTTAACTGATGTTGATAAGTTATATAAGTGTTTGGAGTACAAAAATTGGTGAAATAACATACTCTTTAAGTTACTTTGAGGTCAAATGTAATCTAACAAATGGTCAGCAATTTGACGGCTATTTATAGATTGGACAGACATACAGACATTATGTGTCGATTTACTGTATTTAATATGACAGCTAAATGCTTAATAATAACAGAATTAATCATTTCGTGTTAATCTCATTCACAGATTGGATGAACAGAAAAATGTATTATTAATGCCTAACACAAAGTTAATCAATTGCGAAACAATTTATAGGTTGCTTATAAAGTATCATTTTTTATTGTATCAAATTAAAGAATACTATAAATTTTAAATTAAACTATTATTAATTTATATTTTAATAGCGATGACACCATTACTGGTCTCATGTCTTATACTCTCCATCCCGTGAT